TCAATTAACTATTATGTCCATGGCAGAAGTCTTGAAGTTACAGAAAATGGAAAACCTGCTTCATACTAGATAACTCACCAACTTGCTGCAGTGCAGCACAGTGGTTCCCAAACCTGATCATGGCTTCTGCTTATCACGGCTGGTCCTACAGAGCAGGCTGCCTCCCATTACAGCAACTCCCTGCCCATCAGCTCATCTCTACTACCTCACAACACCTGCGATATAGGAACCTCTGTGCAAGTAACAAGTTCCAGCAGGAGACAGAATACAGCAACTCACACCACCACCACCCCAAAACAGGGTGGTACTTTGGCGTGCCAGCATGTGCAGATTCTTTATGTGAACTGCCTGTTCTGACTCCCACTATCACACAGGCCACAGTGTTCCACTGCAGGAGCACTCCAGCCTCAAGGTGTCAGGATTTCAATCAAAGATTAAGCCAATGTCTGTTGCTCCAACGAGGGGGTTTTTTTGAGTTCCGACTTTACAAAACACAGTCCTCAACTAAGTATAAACCTTACTGTCAAAGTGAAATCTTGGCCCCAGTGAAGTCACCAGCAAAAACTACTACTGCTTTCAGTGAACTTAGATCTGTATTTTGCTGTATGAGGTTCACATGACAAAATGCAGACATCTATGTCTAGGTTAACCATCCCCTTGATCATCAGTGAAGAAAACCAGACACTTTTAGACTCATCTTCTCCTAGAGAAGACACCTAAAATAGGTTGACTGATTTATACCCAAAAATGTTTTTTTACCTCCTCAGGCTGAAACAAAGATTTAAGTGACAAGCTCTATATTGCAGATATCTAAAATAAGCAGAAAGAAACCCACACACAATTTTATTCTTGGTTTTCAGATGAAAACACAACTTGTATAAATTGAATCAAGCACACCACATAATACAGACTGCTCTGCAGAAAAGACCAGAATACATAGTTATTCATCACTCCTTCACCGGGAAGGCACCAAATATTTAGATACCAGACAATGAGGTGGAAAGTTGGAAACATTAACTGTCCGCATGACTAATGAGCTGAAATAAACTTTTAAAAGCATTTGATCAGGTTCCCTGGAGATCCCATAAGACTAGTACATTTTTGATACTGTGATAACTGATAATTGATTTCCTATTTGAATGAAGTTACTTTTTTCTGTGTGGTATCATTATACTTTAGTATAATGATTTCACACATTAAAAATGAACAGAACAGTAATAATTGTGCTTCTCTGCAGTTTCAACATCCTGACTGTACTCTTAGTTACAACAACATATACTCACTGATTTAATCAACGTCACTTCTTCCCTGATGTGTCTTTGGTTCAATTACTTAAATAGGAGTTAAATTCTCACTATGGATAATTTTCCTGTACTTCCACACAGGTTCAAAAATGTCTTCTAATTTTTCTCTTTATTTTCACCTTGCCTGCCAAAACCAACATTCTACTTGTAATAACTGGACTGGGTTCCCAGGAACAAGAGAGGAAAAGCTTGTGGTTTCTTATGCCCTGTCATATACCACAGTACATTTTTTAGCTTGTCTTTTTGTCAACACTGGCTGTTCCTAAGAATGGAGTGATTACGTGGACTTGAATTCCTCTAATTTTCCTTTCTCATTGTTCCTAGTTAATTATCTTACATAAAACTATGCATCATCCCTCCTACCATGCCTTGAAGGAGATCAAACTACTGACAGATGGAAATACCTCAATAAGACACAAATAGTACAGATACAATATAGGAAATTCTAGATGATAACTATAATTGTGAAACTGAAAATTGTGAAATATGCAACTATCAGACAATGACCACATTTTCACCAAAATAAATGAAAATTCTTATCTATAGCTCCTTTAGACTTGAAATATTTAAAAACAAAATTTATAAATTTTCTAAGGAAAAAAACACTAAATATTGAATGTGTATAATCAGTGGAAACCTTTCCAAGTTCTACCAAGATCACAACTTTTGTGAACTCTATTCATATGAATGTATTTCACAGAATCACAGAATCATCTAGGTTGGAAAGGACCCTGGAGATCATCTAGTCCAACCATTGACCTAGCACTGACAGTTCCCAACTACAGCGTATCCTTGAGCTCTAAATTGACCCGACTCTTAAACCCCTCCAGGGATGGGGACTCCATCACCTCCCTGGGCAGCCCATTCCAACACACAACAACCCCTTCTGGAAAGAAATGCTTCCTAATATCTAGTCTAAACTTTCCCTGGTGCAACTTGAGGCCATTCCCTCTTGTCCTGTTGCTTACTACTAGGCTAAAGAGGGTCAAACCCAGTTCTCTGCAGCTTTCTTTCAGGTAGTTGTAGAGGGTGATGAGGTCTCCCCTCAGACTCCTCTTCTCCAGACTAAACACCCCCAGTTCCCTCAGCCGCTCCCCAGCAGACCTGTGCTCCAGACCCTGCACCAGCTCCGTTGCCCTTCTCTGGACACGCTCGAGTCACTCGATGTCCTTTTTGGAGTGAGGGGCCCAAAACTGAACCCAGTCATCGAGGTGCGGCCTCACCAGCACTGAGTACAGGGGTCAGATCCCTTCCCTGTCCCTGCTGGCCACGCTATTCCCAATACAAGCCATTTCAACAACTTCTTGAAAGCAATTACATTTAACTCCATAACACCATGTGATTTTATGGGTGCAACATGTATTTTTACAAAAACAAAACCTCTTTAAATAACAGACTGTTAGAACAGTGCCAATAGGACTCTTGCATTCGACATCTGTGGAAAAGAACATGCATCTTATACATACACTGCTGTGCTTGAGCAAATTTATCCCCTCTACAGTCACCACTTCTCTTTCTTCTCAGTGTTAAATATATATATTTTTACTTTATGTATCCATAGCAAATTTCATTTTCCAACTTACTGGTGTGCTTCTCCCATTTTCTAGATTAAGTAACTTTAACAGCCTGGTTACCCTTCAGTTCAATGAAGAATATAAATCTGACATAATCTCTGTTAAGCAGTACATATTTTGGACAGAATTTCAATTTTTTTCTTATGTCTTATTACCTATGTAATTTTCTAAGACCTCTCTCTTGATTCAATCTTCATCTTTACTGCTACTATACAACATGAACAAGGGCTCCTTCTCAAAGAGGACCAGCTAATGTTCAAGGTCCCTTCCAATCTAGACATTCCTGTGATTCAAAATAGAAATCTTTACAATATTTCAATAGCTAATTATTAATATTAGTATCCTGATAAACAATAAAGTTTATCCTGAAATCGTATTTCAGTATATTAAAAAATGTTTATTATTACATTTCAGTATATTAAACTCTGTTTCAGTACGTTACAGACTCTGAAGCCTTTTTTATGTTGTGACACTTTTCCTATAGTTGACACTTCTCTCCAGAAGAAGGACTCAATAGCTTTTCACAAGATGTTCTTTCAAAATACAATCTGTAATGAAGACCTGATTCATTATAAAAAAAAAAGTCACAATTGTCAAAACCAATTTTGAATATAAACAGTAATCTGTTCTTACAAGTCAGGACTGAAGTATACAAACACTGTCATAGTAACAATTAAGTAACAATCTCTGAAGCACAGATATTGGCCGTCATTTCAAGAAAGACTAGAATTCAAATGAAAAGAAATGCTTCAGCTACCCTTCAGATGGCTTACATACTATGCTTGTAATTGATATTTATCAAACAAATGCAATGTAATGATTCTAAAGATTATATGGATTCATATCAAAGCTGGTGTATCAGCAACAGTTGTAAAATTTCTCTTTTATTTCAGTGAATTGAATGAATTGTCTTGGTGGTAACAGAACCATGTCTTGTCTCCAGCTTACTTGGGTCATGTGAACCCTTGCTGTTCCCATGGCAATCTGAGGGACCAAGGTGATGCTTTAGTCCAGTCCTGTACTCACACCAACTAGCCAAACAGAACATAAAGATCAGACTTCTACCTGCCAGTAAAAGTCATTTTCATCTAGCCAGCTGTCTGCTTTCACAAAATTTTAAAGAACCACATACTTTTTGATATCTACCCCTCTTTAAAATACAGCTGAAACATGTGAGTGAACTCAGAAATCAGCAGAAACGTCTACATCACAGACTAACAAACAGAATGGTTGTTTTAAGTGCCATTTCCTTCAGAAACCAGCCCAACAGAATACTCATTTCAGACCCTGTACCAGAGTCTTAATGAGAAAAAAAAAAAAAAAAAAAAAAAAGCCGAAAAAGGTAACTGGAAAATATACCATGTCCATCTATTCAACAGTTTATAATACATAGAACACACCATTTTCAGTCAATTATAATCCAAGATTTCTTTTCATATTTATGGTAACAACAAGGGAGTGAATTTCTACTGTTTATATCTTGATTAGTCAGTAGTCTGGAGGTCTAATGCAGAATCAAACAAGCAAATAATTATTCAGATCAGTTCACTCTGAGTTTAATGAATGGTCTTCATTTTCTGGAAGAAAGTAGTTTATTCTCCTTCAAGAACACTGAATTATTTTATTTCCCACCACCAGTTTCAAAAAAATTACACAGTATTTTAAGTTAGTTCCACGGCAGAAAAGTATACACTGAACACAAAATTCTTACACACAACTGATTTATTCAGTAAATATAACTTCAAATTAAAATTAAACAAAAAGTTTTATTTTTTAATTAATATTTACCTCTAAGATAACTAAATCTTGATACTTAATCTTTTTTCCACCAAAAAAACCCAGCTTCCTTATTTTTAATGAATGAATGTGCAAAGAAATATTATCCTTCCATGAGGAAAATACATACATAAAAGATGCTGGAGCCTTTCCATTCCCTCCCGATTTTCATCACCCATGTATCTGTACTCCTGAATGAGAACAACTATAAGAAGAATAATTAAAAGCCACTGGTAATTTAAGATTTGAAATCCTTCTGGAGGGACTTAATTTAACAGTATAGTATTTTTTTAAATCCTGCTTATGATTTATTTTATAACCAAAAAAGTCTAAAATGTGTACTTACTTCAACACCTGTAAATAACGTTTGTTCAATGTTATCATTGTTTCTCTCCTTGAGATGTGGTGCGATGTTTCTATTTCTTACTTGGAAGTGTGTTTTACTAAGATAACCATCACCAAGGTCCTGTGTTCAGAAAACGAGAAAGAAAAAAAATTTCTGTAACCAAAATCCTAAATGTCATCACTGTTCTAAAAAATAATCAGAGCATGGTATTTAGGCGTAAGGTCCAAGTCCTTTTACAGGCACCAATGACTGCACTGCTTTTCAGCACCTTCTCATAGGTAGTTTACACTAGTTCTTGGTGTTAAAGGAAGTCAAGGACCTGAACAGTGAAATTAAAATTTAATATAGCTATTAACTGAATAAGACAACTAGTACCGGGGGATCGAGATGAGTGCCAAAGAACTGGAAGACAGTGCACTACGATCATGAAGAGATGACTACTAACAATCCTCACCTATCTATTTCAAGAAATGCTTTCACACCAGTATAAACTTCCAATTCTTGGCTAGACAGGTTTATTTTTTCTCTGTTCCCCCTCTAACTTTCATAAAGTCCTGAAAAAAAAAAAACCAAAAAAGCACTTCAGAACTTACGTGTGCAGAGTCACAATTTGTTCCCTTCCCTTGATCACCTCTGAGGGTCAAATGTAAGAGAAAACAGAGCAAGCTGTACCTTCTCCCTTTTCCCTTTTTATCATTCTGCTTCCCAGGCTACATGGTCTACTGTTGTAAAAGGCCCTTGTGCAGTTTCAGAGAGGCAAATGGTTTTAGGAGCTTTCCCCCCTTGCTGACCTGACTACCTGCACACATACATAAACATTATTTTTTTTCAATTAGAAGCAAGAGGAGAGAAAAAGTTTAATAACGGATCACTGGAAAAACATACACTCTGAAAGGAGAAAGAGTATACAGAGCACAAAGAACAGTAGTTGCATGTTAAGAACTTATTTCTCAAAGGAAACAAATAAATTGGGGTTTTATTAGCTGTTTCATTATGTTTTATTTTAGACAAACACAGAAAGCATATGCACGACATCTGATGAAAAAGGATTCTATTCAAAACAGTCTTTCTACAAAATTCATTAACGTAGCATTAAATTGCTTGACAAGGCTGCAAATTTAACTATAATTTAACTCCTTGGTTAATCTGTTATTGCTAACACAGTTTATTTCACGTATTCTGACCTTTAAATCAACATGGGCTTTACTCTGACACACTAGTTCTTTTTCAATGACACTGCAGAATATGTGTACCTACAGAATCTGCTATGGGCTATTCGTTTACATTGTTCTTATCAAGTTTCACACATAAAAACTTATAATGCTCTCTACATGTATTTTTGTCCATGAATTTTTAAGCATGAATCATACTATGAGCAATTACCTTGCTTGTTACTTCTCCTACTGCATGCCTTATTTTCTCACTAAATTTCATCAAAAGCATGAATCCGCCAAACTTGGCTGGATGTCCTGGCTGCAGAACCAACTGCATCCTGTGCAGTGAAGAATCAAGCATGCAGAGGACAACAGTGACAGAAAAATTAAGCCTAACTTGGTGGTACAAAAACCAGTTCTCTCACTCTGAACACTCTCAAATCTCCGTATGGAGCTTCCTGTGAGAGGAAGGAGTAAGGCTACTTGCGCTGGTATTTATCCCCCTAAGACAGCAAGGAAAGTATGACAGCCACCCACAGAGGTAAAATGCCCCAAGGCACAATGAGCTTTGCCAGAGAAGGGCTGGATATGGCGTTCACCTCCCCGAACCAGTTCTTCCTGTCAGCAGAAAGGAGTCAAGCTCCACAGCATTTGCATTCTGTAGTAAGTGAGTGCCATGGAAAAACAGCTATGGATAAGCTGGAAACCTGGCATTAGCAGCCTCTGTATTTGATAGCTGTATGTCAGAGGCTACAGGAGAGGTGGCAGGAAAGAGGATTCCCTCCTGTTGCACTCTCTGTAGTGTTGCGTGTTTTGTACACTTCTGCCCCTATAAACAAATCAATACTCTAGTAAGACTTTGATCTCATTAACGTGGAAACGGACTCCATTTCTACTGCAACTATCTTGTGAGTAGCATAAGCAAAAATGAACTGATATAGCCTTTGATAAGATTGCCTAGATTAACCTAACTAAATATGAAACCAACATAAAGCAGAAAGCAAGCAGGGGGCAGCCTTCACAGCCAAGATTCAACTATACATCCCTAATAACAGCATCCAAGTTTAGCTCCATCAGGTCCTACAGTAGAGGTGCTCATGGCTTTTTTACATCTTTCTTCTTGGAAAAAAACAAAAAAAACCAAAAACAACAAACACACACACCAAAAAAAAAAAACAAACAACATAGTTTATAACATTTCACTTACAGCTATAAATACAGGGTTCTGCTTGGACCATGTGAGTTATGCCACAAGAGCCAGCTCCACAAAAACAATGAGTATTTCATCATCTAAATTTAATCTCTGCAGAAAGCACAGGAACACAAGAACACAGTTCTACAAGCCTGGTTTTCTTGTGTGGTCTTATTGCTATCAATGGGTCTATTCACATAAGTATGGAATGAGGAACGGGATCCAAGTGCATTACATCAGCAAAATTAAGAGTGCCCAAACTACCCACCACACATATATTGGTAAAAAAAGGAAAAAGACAATGAGACATCTTGTTAACGAAAAACTTCCTTTCCAGACTACACACTATAAATGGATGGTCTCAATGGCCAGGTTTTTATCACACAATGAAATCGCAGTCGCCAACTTGGTCCATTAAAAAAAAAAAACCTCTTACAATTTTTTTATATGTGAGAACAAAAATCTATCTCATTCTGCCATTTCCAGCAAAGCTTCTTATTTTACAGAAAGTTCAAACTTTGACCCATGTATTAAATTCCCAACAGAGGCTCAGAGCATCTTTCTTTGTTGAATAAATCCTCACAAATATAGCCTTGGACTGAAATCTAAAGTTTCAAATGGTTGCCTGTAAGAAAGGGTGCATTGTAACACTTGGCTAATATTTGCACTCTTTTAAAAAACTTCTAAACAGAATGCATCTAAGGCCAAGATCCTGCTTCTTACTGAAATGTCATTTCATCTGTGACGAAAGGGTTACAAATGCTAATGTACAATTACTGATGTAGAAATGAGAAATGATGGCATACAATTACTCCAGAACTTGTTGCATTTCAAAATAGTACAAGCACGATTCTTCTCCCCAAAACTTATGAAAGCATGGGAAACCACTAAGGCCATTAAAGTAAAAAAAAAAAAAAAAAAAAAAAAGCAGTAAATTTTCTACAGCAGAAAGAAGAAATAGATAATAATAATAATGGTATCCAAAACCATCCATTACTTGGCCAGAGAAGCAAGAGAACATGAAAACCTACACTGCCCACCATTCAAAAGTGTAGAAAAAAGAAATCCTAGAATAGTGTGGATTTATTATTATTAGATGGAAAATAACAGAAGCATTCAAAGTAGCAAAAGCAAATATTTAAAATATTTCTGTTGTTATTACAGAACAAATACAAATTATGTAGCCGTAAACCACAACTTACAAAGTTTTTACTTTAGCAGTGGTTAAGCAGGATATTGGCATGAAGTGGCTATCATTAGGCATTGTTAAAGCCAGCGTGTATCAATGTATGTTTATATACTGGCTATTTTGTATATGTGTGTAACTATGTACATCTTAGCTTGACATATCCTAAGCAAAACAACAAAGACATCATACAGAATTCAGTAAATAAATATATACGGTAAATGTAATTACTTTTTAAGAAAAATAGATTCTGTCAAGGTAACTAAAAAAGACATGTTTGGTAGATAAACATACAAGTCATATCAATATATGCTCAGACTTCCACAAAAGTGCTGATTCCACAAACAGAAATTAAAAAACTAAAATAATCCCAAACTAATCTGACATCTACTAAAGGATGAAAAAATGATTAATTCACAGATCTTGAATCTAACTTTAAAAAATGGGGAATCATCATAAAAGAAGTGATTCTAATGGGGTCCTGTAGGACTAGTCTTGGCCCCACACTATTTAAATTTTGATTAATGGCCTAGAAACAACATGTAATTATTATTGGTGAGGTCTGAAAGTTATGGGGAAGCAGCAAATAATGAGGATTGATCATTAATACAGACAGATCCTTCTGGTTGCTGTATACAGCTGACATGTATTTTAATACAAAATATTAAGTCACACATCTAGAACAAGACTATGTGCTCTTTCAGCTTAAAGCATTACAGTGATCATTGGCTACATAACCACAACCACTCACCTGGAGTAGGATGGTTTGAATTTCACAGTAATACAACATTTATCGTCTAGTTCCGCCCACAGTTGAAAAAGGATTATTATATACTGGTAAAGATTCAGGGGAGATCCACCAGACTAATTAAAATATTAGAGAGGACGTCAAATAGTCAGGGAGCTCAACTAGTTTTCGTTTTACACTGACAAGGTTAGGGGATTAATTGATCTGAACATAACGTATCAAAACAAGGAGAGTTTTGATAAAAAAAGGTCCTCAGCTTAGCAGACAAGGTACAGCTTCCACAGGCTGGTAGATGAAGCTAGGTAGACAAGATTAAAAGCAACAGGTTTGTTTTGTTTTTTTTTTTTAATAATTCAATTTTAAGCATAGCTAACCATTCATTGTTGAGAGCTATGACCATTTCCCCATCAGTGGGAATTCTGAAAATGAAGACTGCATAACATATTAAGAGACATTTTTTATTCAAAACAGAAATCATCCAGGTAATCCTACCCCCATTGTTAAAGAACAAGCTGGACAAGGGCATCCCAGCAGCTGTTTCTGGATTCATAAACCTTATTCAGTACATGTACTGGCCTCAATCTTCATGTAAACCACCTATGCACCATTTTGTTCTTGGGACCAGATGTGTAAAATGCCGTTTATGTCACATGTTGTAAGCCCTCCTTAAAGGATGTTCCAGCTTGTGGTGGTTGTCAATAGCTCAAAAAAGGCCAGCAAGGGTATCTAAAAACTGACACCATGATTATGTATTTTACCTTGCTAGTTTTCCACTCCCAACCATCTCCTATCTGCAGTGAATGTTTAACAAATTCTTCACAGTACTGCTTGAATTTGGTTTCTTCCAAAAAGAAGTCCTCTTCACCTGCCACGCTGAAGGACATCTGCAGAGTAAACTAAATGTTAGTACTGACAGATGAAATGAACACTTAAAACTTTCACTGATCTGTAGCAATTGAACACTAAAATAACAAAGCACTGGGGAAAAAAACACTGTTTCTTTAAGTAAACAAAGACATCTTTCTTCAAGTACGTTAGAGAATCACAGATACACAGAACGGCTGAGGTTGAAAGGGACGTCTGGAGATTGTCTAGTCCAATCCCCCTGCTCACAGTAGGGTCAACTAGAGCAGGCTGCTCAGGATCATTTCCAGTTGTGTATTGATTACCTCCAAGGATGGAGATGCCACAACCTCTCTAGGGAACCTGTTTCAGTGTTCAATTACCATTGCAGCAATAATTTTTCTTCTGTTTAAATGAAAATATGTATGTATGTTTGTGCTCATTGCTTCTTGTGCTTTCACTGCACAGTACTGAAAAAAGCCTGGCTCCACCTTCTTTATTCCCTCCCATCAGGCATTTATACACAATTGTAGGATCCCACGGACTCTTCTCCAGGCTGAAGAGTGCCAGCTCTCTCAGCCTTGCCTCCTACATCAGACAGCCTTAATCATCTAAGTGGCCCTTAACTGCACTTGCTCCAGTATGGCATTATCTTTCTTGTACTGGGGAGCGCAGAGCTGGACAAAGTACCGCAGTTCTGACATATTTCCTTAGCAGTACAGTCCAATCGGCCACCAGAAGCCTGAATCCATTTGTGGACTACTTCCTAACACCGTTTCCTTGGAGAACTGAATGGCTCCACAAAAGCTTAGCAGCTCTCATGTTTGCGGACACAGAGCCTTCATGATGGCCGAGTTCCTGCTCATGCCAGCAGTACAGCTATGGCCCAACAATGTGGCTTCAGGGGTTACTGTACGCTTCAGATGAACCCTTTCCTAACCCCTCAAATGCCTCCCTCCAAAAAACTCTCAAGATAATCTGGCCATTTTACTTTTCCCTCCCTTTCAAAGAGGATGTATTGTAAATACAGCTGTTTCAACGTGTTTCTAGACTTTGGGCATCACTGCAGTACCACATACAAATCCTCTGTTAACTACTACAACCAGATCACACCTTTTCTTAACAAGAAATACAAAGGACACAGAACCTGATGCAATGTTATTTTTAAGGTTCCGTCTCTAAATGACGGCCTCACCCTGTCTGCCATGAAATTATTTATGTAGCACTTGAAAATACGCTCTTCTCAACGGCAGCTAACCTAAGCACCCATTACTCTGTGCTACCTAATGTCAAAAGGAAACGTGGAAAACAGACACTGCGAATGTTTCTGCAGTTCCCGTCTCTCGGCCGATGACGGACTGCAAGACTGCGGTAAAGGCACGTAACGAGAGCGTCGTACCCACATACGTTCCAAGCAGACCTGTGTGCTTTAGGAAATTACCAGCTGTAACGAGCTACCAGGCTGCTGGCACCTGTGCAGCACACCTCCCTTTCTTTCTTTCTTTCTTAAACTACCCCAGAAAAGAGTGACGAGCAGATCTGAGCTAATCCACCCCACTTGTCCTCCCGGCCCGCCCCGCGCTGCCGAGCCGCCACCGCCCCGCCGGGACAGTTTCCCCCATTGCATTCAGAGTAAACAAGGGCTACCCCATCAGCTTGGAGACCATACTGCTTGGTGGAGAGCCTCCATATGCAAATGGTGCTTTTCTCCAGCTGGTTGTAATGTGATGTTCTCCAACTGTGCCAACCTAAATGTGCTTGTAATTTGCTGGGTCTGGAGAGCTCACAAGGGCCAAAGCTTTTTACTGAAATATCCCTGAGGTAAACCATTTCTCTTAGTTCTTAAAATTCCATTTTCTAGATTCTGGCTCTTAGCAGCTGAGTTCCTCAAATACATACCATGATTCATATTTAAAGATAAATTTTGCTACTCTTTGTGAACAATTAAATGTTCCGTCTAAGTCTGTAGTTTTCAACATTAGGTATGTGTAAGCAAATTTTTGTTTCACAAAGGTATTCTGGAGAATGATTAACTGTAATGTGCTTTGAGCAGATTATGGTCCCTCCACAGACTACTGTTTCGACTGCATGTATTATGTTTGAAAGCAGTTGCATAGCTTGGGTGGTGCCATTATAACTACAATTTGTGACGTTATAGTCATTACTTAATCATCAGAATTAATTTCTTATGTTGTTCTTCACTGTTTCTCTTCAGTGTTGGGGGTTTGAAGTTTGGTAAGTAACCATGTGGTCATCCAACCCTGAGTTTTGAAGGAAGAATTTTACATTGTGGAATATATTCTGTAAGCCATTTTTGCTAACAGAAAATGCCTGTGGTATTGAAAAAATGTCACGTAATGTGCATTGCCTTGGAAGCTACAACCTCTGATTTCTAATTTTAGCTTTGTTACTGTCTCTCTGACTTTTCCTAGGGAAGAATCATCAGGTTTAAGACATAGTTCATATAAAAAATGGCAGATACGGGGCCTAATTTTGCACTGAAGTTCACGAAGGAGTTGCCATGACTGGAAGTTTTCAGAAAACTAAGCCACAGTTTCCATGTATTCAGATCCATTTACTTTATTTAAAATTGTGAGCCCCTGTAAAAACCAAGAACATCCAGTAAGTAGGATCTCAACACTAGTGGTCATTTTTAAAGAGTATAGGCTTTAGCCATACAGTTAGAGTGTTGCAGTCAGGCAATATTATCTATGGACCTTAAACTGGACATATACAATGTTAAGTAATTACATATTGTTAAAAATAATGAATGGTTGACCTGAATATCCCCTGTCAGGACTTGCTGGCTTCCTCATGAAGAGCATAAGTAACTCTTTGTGTTAGTTAAGGTCTAAAATGCTTAACTTTTAAAAACTGTTAGTATCCATACATAATTGCTAATAGAAATACAATATATCTCTATGTAGATAGGATATTGTACCTACTGGAGGTGGATTCTAATCCTGGCTCTGCTGTTCACAAATTTGGGCTAATATCAGTTTTCTATGTCTGTTTCCCTTTTAGTCTGTCTGCAGAGCAGATCAGATTCATGGTATATTCTTACAGCATCTGGTATCAGCTTGGTCATCTCCAGTCTTGTTGCCAGAACATTTCAGTAAGTTGCAATGAGTGCCTCTTTATCAAGAGAAATGCCTTTGCTGTCGTTCTAAAATTACTTGACAAGAGGTCCCAACATGGGGGTTTCTCTCCTTTCTCTTCCTTCTCTTGCCTCTACTCTGAATAAATGCCTCAGGTTTCCATGTCATCTCTGCATTAATAGTCCTGTTCCTTGTGTCACTCCTTAGATGTTTATACACTTCAAACAGATGTCATCAGATCAGTTTGGTTTATTCTGAATATATTAATATATACATATTTTCACATATGGATAATTTTTGAGAGTAAAATACTGTTGTAGGATCTTTGTTGGTTGGAACTTTTGCAACTAAACTGAACAGCCAAGTGGTGAACTGCAGTGTCTAAAAGGTCATTTTCATCTCTTCATCCTGTTGCTTGGTCCCAAGAAACAGCTTTGTTCAGAACCCACTGATCAGTCAAACAGTACAGGCAGCACTCTTCAGAAAAAAGGTACTATTACAGCTCTCGGACTGATAGAATTAACACGATGCACATTCAGTTTCACAAATCCTCCTTAGTATGGTTCAGATCCTGGTAAATTCACAGTAATTCTAACTCTATTTCTTCCACTTTAGTTTTTGATTACTCTTAATTTCTAATGCTGAACAACGTTGCTAAACAAAAAGAGATAATAACCTATGATTGCCAGTGCCTGGCAGTACCTTGCGTGGCAGACTTTTATAGTAAAGGAATAATGCCAGGTGAGCCAAATAAGAAATAATGCTATAGCCAAAGGAAAATGCTCATGAAAATGCCTCGTAAGGCTACCGGACAGCATGTTCAAACCCAGCGTATCATTTGTGCTATAACAAAGTTTCTTCACTTGCTGTACTAACATGGTCACAGAAGCAAATGTACCCCATCTACAATTTAAGAAGGATTGCATATACATCTGCAAAAATGAAACTCTGGACTTCATTCCACTCAAAACTGATATTAGCAAGCATTTACCATGGCTGACTGCTTAATTTAAATCTCTTCATTGTCTGTCATTAAATTAATAGTGCTCGTGGAGATTATGCACCAATAATACATAACAAGAATTAAACATAAGATATCCTGCATTCTTCTGCTTTGTTTGTTTAGGAGACTTAATAGTTGAAATTCCCCTGACAGAACTTGGGATGTGGAGAGTTACTATTTCAAAATTGTTAACAAACCTTTTTTTCCAATAATCACTGTAATATTACAGTGCTGTTACAAAGTAGACAAGCAGCCTTATTTTCCTTTTACTGGCAGGAAAAGACGAATTAAGTAACTTGTGGAAGGCTGCGGTGACTGTGTTAGGCTGGCAAATGGAGCTGAATTTTGTAGACGCATGATCTGTGCCTTCAACGCACTTGCTCTTGGGCCCTGTGATTTTTCTGAGGGGAAGTTCAAAAGGAAACAAACCAAGAGGTAAACAAACAGCATACATTTTTCATGAGTATTTTTATTCCACTTCAGCAGCTACCAACCAGCACTGAAGAAAGTACTAGCATAATGCAGTTAATTGTTGCCACCTCCTGTTTTTTGGCAATTTTTCCTACTTCTTTGTACTGACTTTATTTTATCTAGAAGTTTAATAATTCCTTCAGGCTTCAGATTGGGTTTTTTTTCACTCATTTTGTATTCTCTTTCTGTTACTGTTATCCATGTTCCATTCTTGGTTTGTTTTGGTTTGTTTTTTTTTTTTTCCTATTAGACCAATACATATTGAAATCAACTTGAGACAGGCTACCTATGAAATACCCATGTCATCAATATAAAAGATAATAGCAGTTGAAGGGCTCAAAAATGTTTCTCTTAAGCAGGGAAATTGGATTTGGGGGATGTTGAGAGTAATGAGGAGGACTAATTGATATAGAAAGATAAACTTTTAAATCGGCTTACACGTTCATGGTCAAAACTGCATTAAAATATCTGCAGATTGTGGAGCAAAGGTCATTATAACACAGGATTTTATGAAAGTACAATAAAAAAATACTGTTAGAACCTATAGTAAATATATATAATTGTAATAAAGCGAGTTACCATCTGTCTCTCTTGTTTTATTAAACCAGCAAACCTATGCTATCACTGTCCTTTTTGCTAAAATCAGCAAATCAGAAAGCAGTTCAAAGTACAATGTGTGAAATATTTTTGTTCAGGATGCTAGCTATATCAGAACTAGGATTCATTTTACACATGTAAGATAAATAAAGCCTAGTGCTAAGCTCCAGAGTAAACTACTCCGATTATTCATCTGGTATAGATCTGCAGGCCTACGTATAAAATTAGCAGCTCATAATTAACACTGAAGTGAGTCAAGACGAGCAGATATTGATGCTAGGAAAACAGGATTTTATTCTTGATTCCTACAAAATATTATGAACCCAAAATTATATCATGTAACATGCAAAGCTGTGTTTTGAGAGTATTTTCCTCAGATGATAGATAGAAAGGTCAAGAGGGAAGCTGCCTGGATGAGATGTGACGGGCAAGAGCAGACCAATTAATCATCTGCCTTGTGTAGAGGAAAGACTCAGAGCTTAACTTGAAGGTTTACTGTAAAAGTTAAGAATTCTCATTTAAAGAGACTTACCAAACTGAAGAACGAGAGGGAATTTCTTCATCAATGATGAATGACAGATTGTACATTGTTTTTTAGTAAAGTAATTCAACAACAGAAGCTACCTAAAACTGAAAAATTAAAAAAAAAACCACCAAAAAACAAAAAAAAACAACTTGCACCCTCCGCTATCATTTTTTCAGAGAAAAACACATGAGAGGAAATTGTCCATTAGAAGCTAAGCAAAATAGCAGTAGTAGCAGACATCACATAGCGTTACTGATCATTGGTCAAAAATTGCAGATGAATTCCTATCTTTATAAGGCAGATATTTCTGAACAAATGAAGAGTGACAAGAATTCAAATGGCACCAAAATGCATAAAACATTACTTTAAACAAATACTGGGTTTTGATTAATCTGGTAGAAGCCATAACACCCAGTCCCATTTACTAGGATACTCTGGCCTCATCTTTCTGACCGATCTGACTAATGTGCAACTACTCGAGAGCTGTCATATGGAAAAGGGCATCAATAGGTGACCTTCTCTGTCACAGCAGATTCCTGACCGCAGGTGTGCACCTCACCCAGGGAGGTATATAGCAGTAACTCTTTTGTGCTTCATTCTGGAGAAGTTCTGTTCAGGTGCCAGCCAAAACACACTCTGACTCCTGCCTGCAGCACAAATTGCGTGACGGCAGGACATTGGCCTTACCTGTACTGGCACTGCAGCGAAGTGAAAGCAAGCTGAGGAGGCAGGAAGCCACCTTTCCTCATTTCAGGCTGTTGAGGAGACAAACTTTCCCTTATGGCTGCTTTAATTTACACGAGTTGAATTAATCCCTTCAAGGCTGTTTTCCAATCCATACCAAGCCCATTTCTTGCCTTGGAAACCCCTCTGAGGATTTAACATGCAGCCAACAACATCATGAGAGGTATGCCTGTTAAAAAGTATTTATGTACAATTCAGTGCATGTTGTATCCCAGCAAGTTTAACTTAACATATTTATGTCACAGCATTGAATGCACACGACATCCTGCACACTAGGGATGTATATGATATGTATGTTTGATTTCAGGATTCCTGGGGACCATCATAGGTGTCTTTCCAGGAATCAAATTGTTTCTTGTGTTTTAGTTTGCTTTGCAAAACCCTGTTTTTCCCCTTATGGTCCCAAAGAGGGACCAAAGAGGTTTTCAGAGATGAACGCTTCTGTAGCTGGGTGTGGTCCCAGACGGCTCTGGAGATACCAAGGGACTGCAGATGCCCCCAGTCTGTCCTTGAAGAGTTATGCCAGACAGAAGAACGATGCACTTTAGCTCAGTAAAGGTTTGATGGATGAGTAACGGCAGGGTTTTGAACAGCAATGTGGGAAGCATGGCAAGGCCGGTGACACCAAAGTAACAAACCCTAGTGCTTAAGCTCACAGACAAAATGAAGCCCTATGTTGTTACCCATAGAGTACTGCTGCTCCCTCGATTTTAGTAACAACTAATTTTTCTTATTAAAGACCATTCTCTAATTGCATAGGTCCCAAAAGAAAAATCAGTTAGATACCAAGCAGTGGAACAGTAGACCTGGAGTGAGTATCCATTAGGCTGACTGAAGACATGCTGGTGCTGTGAAAATAACTTCTGACCTCAGCAAAAGAAAAGCTGTGCATGGACTTCTGTACCCTAAAAAACATTCTTTGGGCTATGAACATGGACATGCAATACTGAAATTAAACCGCACTGTCAGACAGCATGCCTGCTAAACTAGTGCAAGTTTATGAACAGCAGATTGGAGATACTTCTGCAAGAAATTTACAAGTTTACTTGGAAAAAATGTGACTAGGTATCTCTCAAGTGCAGGTGCATTGCCTGGTGATGATGTTACCAGTTCAAAGCCGTTTTTCAATAAGCTAAATGGGTGTAGAAACAAAGTAACCTAAAACATGGAACTTGACCTTAATACACAACAATGAAAGCAATAAATAAAAGTGCAACCAGACTGAGTGAGAATTGTATTTGCTGTCCAATACCTATTCTTACTTGGAAGTGCCTGTCCCAGAAAGAGAAAAAAAAAAATAGTATTTATCCAGTTTGATGTAAAGCACTGGAGAAAAGCCACGTACTTTATTGTCTTCATCAATGTAAGATCACATCCTCTAACTCAACATTTTCAGTATTTTCCCATTTGTGAGAAATCCAGCAAGTGAACAGCCTCAGCATGATAAGAACATTATAATCCTTTCTAAAATTACATTTCTTTTGTCATACAGCACGTATTACAAATTGAGAATAAGGTTGATTCCTAACACATCATGAATCGTGTTTTCCAAGCTTACTACTGAAATTATAAACATAGTGAATGCTTCAGAATGTCATTTCAGCCAGTGATGGGGTTTTCATCAGGATATGCAAATGAGATTTTTTAGAAGCCCAGGGGAAGAACATCATATCAATTAATGGAAAGTTTAGGAGTCAATCTGCTGAGTTTGTTTCTTCATTAGTTTGGACTCACAAAAAAAATTCTCACTGCCTGAAAATACACGTAAGTGTCACCTGCCAGGATTGGAAAAAATCAGAAGCTAGCCTGATAAAATGATTAAGTGAGCAGTGAGCAATTTACCATTCAACTGAGACTGGACTATTAATGAAAAGATTTCTCTTTACACCACAGAAAGGACCTGCCATTTGAAATGGACAGGTTAGTATGTGCTGAAATATTGTGTCTATACTAGATTTCACAAAATTCTCTTTTAACTAACTTTAGTTAATAGATGATGCTCATGTTTTTGTTTATTCTTATTGGAACAAGGTCAAAGGCTTTATTTCATTCCCTTGAATTATTACACTCCAGAAATTTATCAAACCTTCAAAATTCAAATCAGCTGTTAAAGTTCTGAGGTAGTCAAATCCAGTTTGTAATACACACACACACACCCCCACATCCACACCCCAAATTGTACATATATTCAGACAAAGTTTAACTTGCAGCATGGCTGCATAAAATCATTGCGTATACTAAATCAGATGATCCTTTGAACAGTGCTGGAATACTTTCCTGACCCCAAAACTGCTGCTGAATACTACCACAAAAATAATTGGAAAAAAAATAAAAAAAGGATTTGTGGGGGGTCCAGTCCTCCAAACTGCTGTCAGCAGAATTTCCAAATAACTTCTCTTGCAGCCTCAGTACTCTTTTTTCCTCCTAATACTCACCTTGTAATTTCTTACTTGTCTACGATTCTAAACACACTGACCTGGTTGACCAAATTTACCCTGGCATAAGAGGATGTAACTCCGTGCCGTTCACTGAAGTTATATTTACCTGTAACACAGCTATGCTGCACTGGAATGTTTCATGCAGGGAAGGTGTAGAGGTTATGCAAACCACTTCCAGTCCTGAGCTTCAGTCATTGCACTTTAGTCACCTGCAGCATTTTCACAAGGTAAATAATACAGTAAGAGTCAAAGAAAGGAAGACAAGAGGGTGAAGAGCAGACTGTCATTGAAATTGGAATGATTTATTTAATAACACTGTGAAATAGCACACTTTAGCTTCACCAGCTCATCAGTGTCAGCTCCCCTAATCTGTACACCGCACTGACAGTTTCTTAACGTAACAACGAAATCCATGGGCCAAATTCACCCCCGATGTAACTCTGCTAAAGTCAATGAAGGTATGTCAGAATTAATTTAGTCCAGCAATTACTCTCCATTATCTGGAGTAATGATGGTGCTGCAACACCTGACAAATGACAAACCCACATAATACTGGTACTGTGGTGCATGGCTGAAAGCATCAGCTTGGAAATAGCTGAGATCCAGCGTAGCCAGCACAGCCCTAGAACTGGAGGTGAAATGACTTCTGCTGCGCTTCCTGGCCGTCTTTGTAGAGCAGTCCAAAATGCTGCGGCCAGGCACGCGTTGCAGAGCTGGCACACCCTGCCCGAGCGCAGAGCAGCACAGTGTGAAGGCGCAGCAACGGGGTTCCCTCCAGCTGTGTTTACCAGCTCCACTCGAGCATCATTCAGAGAGGTCCATGCAGAATCGGAAAAGCAGCGGCACCTCTGTGATCCTCATAGCTGAAGGACAGTGCTGAGACATGATGGCTAGATCCACACAGAGCTGATATGGATTTATAGGGGGGGTTAGCTGATATATAGCTAAAATAGAGCTTTTAAGTGTTCAGCTTACATATTGCTCTACAACAAAATGGGCCACATCTGGCACACATTGTCCACAGACAATTGAGAGTTAATTGGATACGATTCAAACTAAATCATCTTTAAGAGACAGATTCCTTTTCCTAGAACTTTTCACTACAACAGCCTAATGCAAGAAGCAAAGCCAAAATAACACGTAAATTTAAATTACAGATCCCTAATGTACAATGTATACATATTGTACTTGAATTGTAATTTAGAGGCCAGAGAAGTAGTAATTCCCTATGTAACAACAGTGGAATGTACCCCCAAGCACCAATTCAGATGAGACCCACCCAGCAGAAGTGAACTGCAGTGCTGTGTTTCTCAGCCCTGTTTCTCTTGTCTGCCACCGGGAAGGCTTCCACAAATCCAGGTCACTTTCTGTTTAATCCCCTTTACTCCAACACTTGGTAACTTTTCTTGTCCCCTTGCCTGCTCAGTCAAACAACACGACCTTATGGATGGCCATATTTTGCTTATGTAAAAAAAATATTTCCCTGTATGTTTTCAACAGCATGTACAAATGTTATCTGTCCAGTAAATGTCTTCCCTTTTTCAGGAAAATGTTTAGACATGGAAGTGGCTAAAAGCAGTGGTTAGCACCCTGGGAGGTAACAGCTCTTTGCAGGTATCCAGAAGTGGAGTAACTGCTGCTGTATCCTGTTTTACCAGCTGGAGGATTACTGGGGGCAAGTGATGAGAGTGGTGTCTTCCATTTGGAGCTCACATCTGCTTCCAGCTCTGCCACTACCTCTCTCAAAGTAACTTTTGGCAGGTTATTTGCTTCTTGCTGTTATTTTCGTCTAACTGCAGAATGAGGATAAGGGTGATAATGTAATAGGTGTTTTTGAAGATTAATTCAATACTACTTAAGGCCCATTCAGACACTCGAATGAAAACATGGGTATATAGGAAATCAAAGTATAATTATTATGAAAATGTACATTACTGTTTAGAGTAAAAGGGAATCGAAGGCAGGATGAGGAGATAATCAGACTACTGGAACTGAGGGATTTTGAGACATGATATTAAACAAGTGAAAAGCATAACACTTAATTCAGCTTAGGGAGGGGCTTCCTAGCAAGCCATATTCATTTCCTTCATGATTTTTTTTTTATATTTGTGTCTGAAACAAGAGGTAAGATGTTGCAGTATGATTGGAAATAGGAAGTTATAAAATAGTATCCTGTAACCATATTCACAGTCAATACAACGTTGACAAGGTAAGTCCAGATTTGTCCATATCCCTCCTGTTTTAATATTATTATTGGATATATCCTCAGATAAAGGTCTACTGGAGACAGTACAAGTTTATTATAATTGTGAGACTTTTTAAGAATTAGGTAATCAGAATGGATTTATTAGAGATGAAAGGTCCAAACTAAGCCATATTGCCCTCAAGTCTCCTGGCTGCTCCTAAGAAGCCAACGTTGCTTCTGTAATGAAGGTTCTTTTTCAGAGAACATTTAGTACTTCATGAAATGGAGTATCTACAACTCAATCCAGAAAAGGCTAAAGGGATGACATTTATAAAGCTCAGGTTGCCACAAATCAGATTTAACTATAACTGTACTGTGCATGATGTGAAGTTAGACATAAATAAGATATAACACTAAGAGAGTGGAAGTTATATACCCTACATTTCATTTATTGAACATGCTTTAATTTATCTGCTTGTTTGGATTGCTTTAATTTATCTGCTTGTTTGGATTACACAGTATCATGAACATTCCAGTAGCAGTTCTCTAGTTGAGATTTCTATTTATAGCATACTCTCTCTTCATTGGATGACCCTCTGCATTAGTTTCAATGAGGCAGTAATTAGGTCCTTAAAGCAGAATTAAGATATCTTTAACAACTGAAAATAGATATTAAATTTACCTGATATTCTTTCAAAAGACAATCTTTTTTTACAATTCTTTGGGACTGTAAAGAGGATACATTTTTAAATGTTCCTCTTTTATATTTTTTCCTGCTTTTCTTTTATGTATTTTGGGGCTAAACAGCCACCATCTCCACAAATTTCAGATTTCACACATGCACATATTTAGCCATAAGGCAATCCTGAACTTTCAAAATGAAGCATACAGCTATTCCCTGTAGGATAGAAGATTTCTTTTGCATTCTAAATAATTTCTGTCTTGATAGCTAAAGAGAACTACTTAGCTCCATGTGATGCTTAAGTAGACTCAAATTTTGCCAGGAAATTGGAGAGAGATGGGTTTGAAGAGTGGACTGCTAGGTGGGTAAGGAACTGGGCAGATGGCTGCGTCCATAGAGTTACAGACAATGGCTCAGCATCCAAGTGGAGACCAGTAACCAGCAGTGTTGCTTATGGGTCCGTACTGGGACCAATACTATTGAGTATCTTCATCAATGACACAGACAGTGGGATTGAGTGCACCCTCAGCAGGTTTACCAACAACACCGAGCTGAGTAGTGCAGTTGATTTGCTGGAGGGAAGGGATGTGCCATCCTGAGGGACCTGGACAGGTTGGAGAGGTGGGATGTGCAAACCTCATGGAGTTCAACAAGGCCAAGTGCAAGGGTCAGGGCAATCCCAAACACAAATACAGGCTGGGCAAAGAGTGGATTGAGAGCAGCCCTGCAGAGAAAGACATGGGGGTACTAGTGGATGAAAAACTGGACATGAGCCAGCAATGTGCACTCACAGACCAGGAAGCCAACCGTGTGCTGGGCTGCACCCAGAGCAGTGTGGGCAGCAGGGCGAGAGAGGGGATTCTCCCTGTCTACTCCACTCTTGTGAGACCCCTCCTGCAGTGCTGGGTCCAGTTCTGGGGGCACCAATAACAGAAGGACATGGACCTGTTGCAGCAAGTCCAGAGGAGAACATGAAAATGCTCAAGGGGCTGGAGCACCCCCTGTGAGGACAGGCTAAGAGAGTTGGGGGGTTCAGCTGGAGAAGAGAAGGCTCTGGGGAGACCTTAGAGCGGCTTTCCAGGAGTTAAAGGGGCTACAGGAAAGGGGGGAGTGACTCGTCATCAGGGGGTGTAGGGATAGGATGAGGGGTAATAGTTTTAAACTGAAAGAGGGGAGATTTAGATTAGATAAGAAATTCTTCCCTGTGAAGGTGGTGAGGCCCTGGCACAGGTTTCCCAGAGAAGCTGTGGCTGCCCCCTCCCTGGAAGGGTTCAAGGGCAGGTTGGACGGGGCTTTGGGCAACCTGGGATAGTGGAAGGTGTCCCTGCCCAGGACAGGGGGGTTGGAACGTTGGAACTAGATGATCTTTAAGGTCCCTTCCAACCCAAACTTTTATATGATTTTAAAGGAAAAAAAAAAAAACCAACAAAAAAACCCCAAAGAAATATTCAATATCCTTAATCCTGAGCACACTTGACATTTCAGCCGTTAGCACAGCTCTCAGTGATGTAGCTGACACTATTAGAAATTCCAAGAGTAGCAGCACAGATAAATATTTCTTCATCATCATCTCTTGTCTGACATTAACTCAAACACCAGTTACGAAAACGATGCATGGTAGTTTTTACTATGTACTGTGTGCAATCCCCACTAACTGTGCTTATCACCAAAACCTAATTGTACGTGCTTTGGACTGCCTGCTCGAGGTAGGGGGGTTCCATATGTCACCTACGGATGGTGGGGTTGACATGGCAAAGGTTTAGAAAGGAAATCTCTCAGTGTGTAGGGGGTTGAAAGACATAAATAACATACTTCTTTCCTCTGACTGTTTGGGTTGTTTTTTTCAGTGTGGAAACTTTACTCCAAAATTACCTTTTTAGTGTGTGGGAATCAGACAGATAGCAATTTTGAGAATGTCTTGAGGGAGCAAGGTGATTTGAGTGATGAGACTCATAAGCCTTGTAATTACAGTAATTATGAGACCATACCTCTACAGGTAAGAACTCATAAGTAAAAACATTAGCATGACCATTTAAGAAGCTCAATAATTCATTCCAGGGCATGTGGTTACACTGCAATGCTTAACATACACTTCATGACTCTGCTGGCACTTGGTCTTACCTCTGAAGCATGTATCCGTTCCCTAAGCATAGATCCCTTGGTCCTGTGCTATTTGTATGTAGTCTGTTCAAGACAAGTCTGTAGCAGCTGGTCAAATCTTACTACATGTTTTAGACATCCTTTGCCCTGCAGCTTTATAAAGAAATAGCTTGAAGCACTGGAATGTTCTGACTCAAGACAGATTTTACTCAGAGAAATAGATGTTGTAAAAAACATATACT